GATTTTAGTCACAAACTTCAGAATATTTTGAGGTAATAGCATAGGGTTTGAGCGACAAATTCTGACGGTCTATTAGCCCAATCCTTCTCAATTTTTTTGTGCATATGGAGGACAATACAGGTTACAAATAGCCTGAAGTACGAGTGATTTCAGTTATAAACTTCCTAATATTTTAACGTATTGGCATAGGGTTTAGGTACAAATACTGGCGACCAAATACTCCGATCTTTACCAAATTAGTTGTCCTTGCAGGGTACAGTACAGGCTGCTAACAGACTAAAGTACGAGTGATTTCTGTTATAAACATCCTAATGCTTTAAGTTATTTGCATAGGGTTTAGTTATAAATACTGGCGACCTAGTAGCCCGATCCTTCCCAAATTTTGTCCATGTAGGGGACAGTACAGGTTAAAAATAGCCTGAAGTACAATTGATTTCAGTCACAATCTTGCGAATATTTTAAAGTAATAGCATAGGGTTTGTGCGACAAAGCCTGGCGACGTAATAGCCCGAGCCTTCCCAAATTTATTGTCCATGTGGGAGTCAGTACAGGTTAAAAATAGCTTAAACTACAATTCATTTCAATCATAGACCTACGAATATTTTATTCTAATACCGTAAGGATTGAGCGACAAATTCTGGCGACATAATAGCCCGATCCTTCCAAAAGTTTTTGTGCTTGTGAAGGACATTACCTGCGACTAATAGCCTAAAGTACGAGTGATTTCACTTACACCATACCAAATATTTTAAGGTATGAGCATAAGGTTTAGGTACAAATACTGGCGACGTAATAGCCCGAGCCATCCCAAATTTATTGTTCATGTGGGAGTCAGTACAGGTTAAAAATAGCTTAAACTACAATTCATTTCAATCATAGACCTACGAATATTTTATTCTAATACCGTAAGGATTGAGCGACAAATTCTGGCGACATAATAGCCCGATCCTTCCAAAAGTTTTTGTGCTTGTGGAGGGCATTAGAGGCTACAAAGACCCTAAAGAACGAGTGATTTCAGTTATACACTTCCGAATATTTTAAGGTATTGGCATAGGGTTTAGGTACAAATACTGGCGACCTAATAGCGCGAGCCTTCCCAAATTTTTTGTCCATGTAGGGGGCTGTACAGGCTACAAATAATCTAAGCTACGACTGATTCAGTCATAAATCTCCGTATAGTTGATGGTATTGGCATAAGGTTTAGGTACAAATACTGGTGACCTAATATCCCGATCCTTCCGAAGGTTTTTGTCCATCTAGGTAATAGTACAGGCTGAAAATTGCCTAAAGTACGAATGATTTCAGGCATAACCTTCAGAATATTTTAAGGTTATAACATAGTGTTTGGGCGACAAATACTGGCGACCTAATAGCTCGATCCTTCCCAAATTCTTTGTGCTTGCAGAGGACATTACAGGCTATAAATAGCCTAAGGTAGGAGTGATTTCAGTCACAAACTTTTTAATATTTTAAGGTAATGTTATAAGGTTTGGGCGACAAATACTGGCGACCAAATATCCCGATCATTCCTAAATTTTTTGTGCACGTAGGAGATAGTATAGGCTACAAATAGCCTAAAGTACGAGTAATTTTAGTTATAAACTTCCGATTATTTTATGGTAATAGCAAAAGGTTTGGGCGACAAATACTGGCAACCAAATAGCCCGATCTCTTCCAAATTTTTTGTGCATGTAGGAGACAGTTGGCTACAAATAGCCTAAAGTAGGAGTAATTTCAGTCATATACTTTCGATTATTATAAGGTAATAGAATGGGTTTTGGGCGACATGATTGAGAATTATTATATTGTAGTAGTGTGAGTTCTTTCTTGAGCTCTTGATTATCTGAGATTTGAATTTCATTTCGGACTGGCGCAAGTGACACTGATGTGGGACGCACTACCCAATAATTATACTAAGTATAGAATGACAATGAGTACTTAACTGAATTTAACGTAGAATAATACTGAGAGCCAGACGTGTAGGTACTGACTAGATGTTGAAAGTACAGTGCGTAGCGCGTCAAGGGCTACTCTTAAATATTCACATAGGAGCTTGCGACGCCGGTGAGCGCATCGGTGCCTGTTCCTATGGCAATCAGTACGGTGACGTCACTCGAATCTTGCGTTGAGTGTTCATCGGTATTTCTAGTCGGATTAGAGTCTAATATTCGAGTATTTATCGTAGGGAAATTTACCGACTTCGCTGAATTGTGTTTATACGTCTTCCACTTTTGTCTTTCACCTAATACTGCTTCAATTCGGAACAATAGACAAAAAATTTGGGATGGATCGGGCTATTAGGTCGCCAGTATTTGTTGTCTAAACCCTGAGCTAGTAACCTAAAAGGTTCGGCAGTTTATGCCACAAATCACTTGTTTTTACGTCATTTGTAGCCACAGCTGTCCTTCTACATGCACAAAGTGTTATGGAAAAATCTATCAAATTATATTCATTAGAAAACTTTCACCAGCTATTATAACAAAGAATTATCAAACGGACATAAAATTCTAAGAAAATCTCGCCAAGGTTACTGAAGGCTCGAAAAGGTTAGTACATATAGAACATACTCGTAAACAGCCACTTTATTGCTCTTTATACTACAGACGTAGTAATTGTTTTGAATGCAATGAAGACCCTTGCGACTTACCATCAAACTCGGCTAAGTTGTTTACCAGAATATATTTTGAGGCTTAAATTATTTGAAAACAATTGAGTGAAGCTCGGCACGTGCCAGGTTCGGCAATCTGCGCTGCACGTGTGCTTTCAATGCCATTAGCAAGCAGGAACTTTACATACTCGTAGGGATTGGTAAGCTAGTGATCAAAGTACATGCAGAGATCCACTAACCAGGAGATGCATCAACTTCCATATTAATCCCTGTGTTTTTTGTGGTCAACGTAATGTTATCACTTCACCTACAAGAGGGGCGGACGACCACGCACGTTTGTTTTGCTTTGTGGTAAATCACTCTACCCAGGATGAGATCAAGATACTGCATGACTATGAGTACACTATCCGCGAAACCTCATTATATCTAGCTGGCCGATGGCAATGATCAACACAACTTCATAATTAAACGATTTCAAGAGCATCTCGTGTAGTGATACCTCCTATACAAGAAGCCGTTCAAGAAATCGCATCTTCACATTATATTCAAGACGATTTTACAACACCCATATGTAAATAGTGTAATAAATTGAATAATAAAAGCATAATTAGACAACTCACGACTCTTGTACAGCCCTTCCACCTAACTCTTTTTCGGGCGTCTGCTAGGGCAGGCGGCAAATTAAGCTATTGAAGCATTGGCAGTTCGAGCCAAGATATAATTTCGAACATAGATCCACAAAAAATTTAGGAAAGATCGCGCGATTACTTCGCCAGTTTTGTCGCCGAAACGTTGAGCTATTTTTATTATTTATTTCTTAACATAAAATGTTCAGAAGTTTATGACTTAAATCACTCATACTTATGGTGATTTGTAGTCACTGCTGTCCCCTATATACACAAATTTTTGGAAAGATCGGGATAATGGTTTGCCAGTATGTGTCGCCGAAACCCTAAACTATTAACTTAATATGTTCGAAAGTGTATGACTAAAATCACTCGTGCTTAACGTCGTTTATGGCCACTATTCTCCCCTACATGCACAACAGTTTCTGGAAAGATCGGGTTATGAGGTCGCCAGTTTTTGTCGCCCGAATCCTGAGCTATTAACTTACAATGTTAGAAAGTTTATGACTCAAGTCACTTGTCATCAATGCCTTTTGTAGCCACTGATGTCTTGTACATGTACAAAAAATTTTGTAAAGATCGGGCTATTAGGTCGCCACTAGTTCTTGCCCAAACTCTAAGCTATTAACTTAACATATTCGAAAGTTCATGACTCAAATCACTCGTACTTATTGTGCTCACTGCTGTCCCCTATATGCACAATTATTTTTGGAAACATCAGGCAATTAGGTCACACCTATTTGTCGCGGAAACACTGAGTTGTTAACTTAAAATGTTCGGAACTTTATGACGCAAGTCACTCGTATTTAAGGTCATTTGTAGCTACCGCAGACCCCAACATGTACAAAAAATTTTGCGCAGATCGGGCGGTTATGTCGCCACTTTTTGCCGGCCATACCCTAAGTTATTAACTTAAAATGTTCGGAAGTTTATGACTCAAATCACTGTCTTTCGGTTATCCAAATGCTGAACAATTTTATAAAAATGTTTAGGACATAATTTCTCGATATCAGGGTAATCTCTAGCCACTATTTGCCTCTGTATCTACCTCTATTTACTGATCGATCCATTGTTGCCGAAATTATCCTTAAAAGATTGAGGAATTTTATAATGATCGCGGGAAGTTTACGATGAAAACTTATATTAATTAACAATTTTAAAGATACATCATTTTGAACCAGCGGTATTTTCAATCAGTTTTCCTCATTTGTTCAATTCATCACGTTGTACAAAAAAAAAATAAAGAATTGCTTAAAGTGCAAATATGGTGAAAAAAAATTTTCAAATATGAACCAAATAAGATAAGCGATAACCCATGTTTTTATTACATTATCTCAATTGAAACCACATAAAATATTTCCTGAACATGAAAAAATCTGATGAAACATATATTACACAAAATGAACAGAAGTTGATTATATTACGATATCGTCTTTCTACATTAATATTATAAACTTTTTAAACAATATTACTATATTTATAATCTTATTAACCAGTTTTAAATATCTGAAGAATCGTATAGCTATCGTGTACACAGTATGTATTGATGAAAAAACATGCATAAATAATATTTTTACAAAAAATTCTCATTACAACATATTCATATACAGAGAAAAGGAAGAAGGACGTAGATACATATATATATATATATATATATATATATATATATATTTATGTATATTAATAGAAATATATGTTTTAGTAAATATTTATTGAAAAAATTATTCTCACTTTATTTTATGTAAATAATTATTTATTATTAATATTTAATTTTGGAAATAAATCTAATTAATGTTTAATTATATCTTAAATTTTTTGTACGTGTCATTTTTTGACTAATTTGCTCTTCTTGTAAAAGCTGTTTACGAAACTGATTAACTTGATTTAATGCTTCATTTAACATATCACGTTGTTTTAACATAATTTCCTCCCATTTCTGTGCATAATCTGAAAAATATTAAGATTATATATTTCTTACAGCAATATACTTAATAATGATTACTGCATTTTTAAATAATTGAATTTATTATATGATATTGAAATAATATTTAAGGTATATTTTAAATAATAATATATTATCAACAATTTCTGAATAATTGATAAAAAATAGAGGTAAAACATATAAATTATGTATTACAAACAGTTTGATTTAATAAATTGCAAATATTTTCCTTATTTGATCTTTGTGTTCAATATACTTAATTATACGTACTGTGCACGATGAAATTTTATATGATTATAATTTTATTTGTGGATTTGAACAGTTAGTGTATGTTGGAAACTGTTTTATTTCCTGGCTCGAACTGCCAATGTTTCGATAGCTTTAATTTACCGTCCGCCCTAGCGAGTGTTTGGGAAGGAGTTAAGTGGAAGGGCTGTAGAGTACAGTGTGTGCTTCTTTGATAAATATGGTTTATTATTAAAGTTTATTTACAATTATATTATTGATGTGTTGAATTTATGCGATGGAAGGTATATCCTATGTTTAATCACGAAGATGCACCAAGCTGTTGCTTGAACCTATTCCTGTGGTTGATGGTATATCTATCCCAGATGGTCATTGTTGATGGTGATTGTCCGGGATCAGACTAAAATCCTCCCTTTGATGGTGGATGGAAGCTTACCGGCAAGTGGAAGGGGCAATGCAATAATTCAATACTGCCTTTAGAGTGTAGTGTCTTTCCCGTTATTGAACATAAATAATATAATAAATAGTTGGATAGCGAGCCTGATGTGAAGAGCGCGTGATCGGTACTAGCAAGGGCGAGAGCGTTAAGCGCAGCTCCTTAAATATCCTAGTACAAGCTTGCAGATCCGGTGACTACCGGATCACTCTTGCCATGTCGATTGTTAGAGTGACGTCACCAGAGTCGAGCCTTGGGGAGTTCGTCGGAATTATAATGTAATATTCGAATATTTTGCGTAGTGAGGTTTTCCGATTTCGCAGAATTGTGTTTATGACTCAGCACGCAAATGTTTCTAAGCACAAGTGTCTTTACCTCTCCCACTTTGTATACCGCTTAAATCTGCTGTAATCCGTAACAGTGATGTTGTTGATCTTGTAAGGATCAGCAACTGATTATGCACACTCCTTATTAGTGAGTGTGATTTGTGCTATTAATAATAGCGTCATGCTAATATTGAAAGGATTAGCAATTATATGTATAGACTTTGCTTACTCAATACTTAATAAATATAAATAAATTTGTTTACTGCAGTAGCCTTAATCCGACCCTGTAATGAGTAGTTCACCATTATGAATGCTCCTTGTTGGTAATAAATTGTTGCTGAGTTTGCAGGAATCAGCAATGATTATGCACGCACCTGATCGCTGAGTATGTCTGGGATGGTCGGGGATGCGTCTTTTTTCTGTCATGGCGAGAACCTTGATGATCGACTATTCTTCATGGGTGAATAGCATGACTCACTGCCTCAAAGTCTGAAAGTCTTCTAATGAGCCTCGTCGTGTGTTTATATTAAATAGCTACGCGGCAGCTTTATTAGCTGACAACAAAGGGACGTATCCGACGTTTTCCGATCAATACAATTTTCAAAGTAAATATTCTCTAAACTGATCCCACTTTATCAGTTTAAAAACTTAATTTATATTCTCATTAAAACATTAAAAAATATATTAAAAATTTGTTTAATGTAATAATTTTGGTAGCAAAATATTAAATAATAAATAATTCATTAATAATGATTTTAGTAGCAATTATTTAAACAAATTTATTGGTTTTTGTTTTGCATATCTAACTCTTCTCCAATTTTACTGTGGATATCTTTAGATAAATTAATCTTTTATCCATATCAATTATATTTTTTATCGATCTTATATTTAAAAATAATTTTCATAGTTTTTGTTTTATATTGCTTATTTTTCAACTACGTATCATTAATGCTCTTTATTTTTTCCTGCTTAGTGATTGCAAAATTAATTAACGAAATAATGTTTTTATTTTAAATAAATGTTCATAATTTGTAAAAAATAACGGTGATGATAACCACCTAAACTGTCTTCTTAAATTTATTGTAAATATTTCATTACTGAACATTTACATCATTTTATTTAATAATTCTATAAAAATTTTAAATTGTTTATTCTAGTATCTTTTAATTTTATAACCTTATATATATATAAGTTTATAAAATTATATATATATACATAGTAATTTATTGCACAACCATAAACTATAAACAAATAATTTAGTAAGAGTTACACGATATTAAATAATGATTTATTTAAGACCCATACAGTTGAAACAAAAAATATTAAAGATGAATGTTAAATGAAATTATAAGATACTTTGATGATTTGTTATTTATAATAAACTAAATATATCATAATAATATATTTTTATTTATTAAAGTTTGGATATATGTATTTAATTTAAAAATGAAAGCGTTAATTAAAATCAAGAATTCATAAATCATTCAATATTTTTAAAAAATATGTGTATATTTATTCTTTTATGATTTTTATAATTAATTTTTTTTATTATTTTTTTTATTATATTATATATATATATATATATCTCGATTTGAAATATTATAATTGTGTGTATTTATGATTATATTAAGTTAATAAAATTATAATTCTATCAGAGGAAATACCTTATTGATGATTAATTGGTATTACTATTATCTTATATTTTATATAATATAATATATGGTATTAAGAATATTAACCATCTAGTTACATATCATTGTTAAAATTATATGTGATATTTAAATAAAAAAATTTATGGGATACTGCAGAAATTTTTAACCAAATATGTAATAGAGTAAAATCCATAACTACATAATATTTTTGGCTCTCTATTATTCAAGTACAATAATAGTATGTTCTGCAACATTAATTTTAATTTACAAATAATTGATCATAATTAGCATAATTATTTTATATAAATATCGTAATTGTAAATAAAACAATCATACATACACTATTTTTCAATTATTCATTTAAGTCATTAGAGTTTGATTAAATTTTATAACATTTAAGTTTTCTGGAAATTTTTAAATCAGATGATATATCCAAATACCTATTTTGAATAATTACATTTTTTATTGTTCTTTAATAAGAAATCTTTACACAAAAAAAATTATATTATTATTAACTAAAGTTTCATTATCAAACCAATTATGAGTATTATTTATATAAAATTATTAAAATATTTTGTAAAGAATCAAAAGAATTATAAAAAATGGAAACAAGCAAATTAAGTACAAAAAATAATAATAAAAAAATAAAACGTAAAAAAATATTAAATATAAAACTAATATAAAGGAATAATTTGAAAAACGTAAAAATTGATAAGAGGAGTTTCAGATATTAGATTCATTAAAAATAATAGAATAGATATTGTAATAATAGAATTTATATTTAAATATTTAATCTTAGTTTCAATCTAAATTAGTCTTAACAGCCTTGATATCGTTTTATAAAATAATTATAGAAATGATAAATGAATCCTCTGATATTTATAATAATATAAAAGAGAAAATTTTTTTAATAAACTATACTGTTTAATTATAAAAAATATAGATATTTTTTTTTTATAATATAATTTAAGGAATATTTTACATGATATTATGTCACTGATACTATAATAATTATACTTGTTTGCATTTGCTATAGTAGAAATAAACTATAGTAGAAAAGTGACATATGATTATATGAAGTACAAAGATCTATTAAAATATATTAACTTCGTAATGCAATACTAATCTAATTCGGGAAAATTTCTACCATAATCCTTTAAATAATCTCGAAAAATTGACAGTTAATTGAAAGTTTTTTTTTATGGGTAAAATACATGATTCATGCTCAATGATACATATTTTGCTTGTAAATATTTTGTCATTACACTGTAAAGGTATTATGAATTAATTTTGATAAAAGTTAATAAGAATTTATAGTGGATGACAGAATTTATTTATTTTAAACAATCATTTTGTATTGGTCTAAACAAATATCTGCATGTGAATCTTTTATCGTTAATAAACCAGGGAGATCAAACATAGTTTAATAATGAAATGTGGCACAATCTGACGTGTACCAGGATTCTTATTAATAAATGTCTAAAACATGAAATTTTAATTTAGTACCTTTTTTGAAAAATAACTGGCAGTAGTGTAGTTCTGAAAATAATAAAAACTACCTTGCTATTTATACACGTTGTACTATATTTTCAGTATAATAAAAATTTCATGACGATAATTGATTTTAAGTCATTAATTTAATTCATTTTTTAAAAGAGAACTTCTAAATTTATTTCCTCTGTTCAGCATTCGTAGTGTTATGAATATAGTATGTTAGCGAAATTTCCAAGCATTTTATAAAAAATTTAACAGGAAAAGATATATTTTAAAGTATAATGGTGTTGGTTTATATGAAATGATGTTAATTTTAAAGAAAATACCAACGAACTGGAGTCAGATCAATATCTTTCTACTACATAATTCAAGTTAGATTCAATGTTCAGATCAGCGAAAGTATTAATTCTTGTTTTCTATTTATTCATATTATATTATATGACTTGCAAAATAATGTAGTATCTGAAATTGCTTATAATACCTAATATTCTTCTTAACTTATGTAAGGACGTACGTTTTAACATAAATGTACAGTTATAAAATTATGAAGCAATATAATTAATTATAATTGCAATTATTTAGAAGGAAAAACTAAATTTCTAATGTATTTATGAGCTTTTTGAATATTGCAAAAATTATCTTCGATATGAATTTTATTTATTTCATTAAAAAATTCAATAATTTATTGATCATATGTTTATTTATTTTTCAGCATGCTACTAAACCATCTATACCTGTGAAATGTGAGTTTTTAAAATATTATAAAATATAAATGTATAAACAAATTAGATAATATTTTAATTAAATCTAACGGAGCAAAAAGAACATTTTTAAATATAAAATATTACTAA